GCAGGAAGGCAGGAAGGCAGGAAGGCAGGAAGGCAGGAAGGCAGGAAGGCAGGCAGGAAGGCAGGCAGGCAGGCAGGCAGGCAAGGACGGAGGGAGGAAGGGAGGAAGGAAGGAAAGAAAAACAGAAAGACAGAAAAAAAGGAACAAAGAAGAAAGAAGGAGAAGGAGAAGGAGAAGAAGGGAAATCAAGCAAGAGTAAGAAGAAGTATAAGTAGAAGATCGTAGAAGAAGAGTTATATAGAAGAGAAAACAAACTAAGAGAATCTGAAAACAAAACACAGAAACACATGCAGGTCACTTGAAGCGGACACTTTTTGTTTTCTTTGGCCGTTTGTTGCTCCAGACTTCTTGAACCTCCAAAAAGGTCATGGTTTTTCTTACCATGTTGCATGGTTTTGAGAGTTTCCGCAAAGCCTCGCGCATGGTTTCGATGCGCTGTTCATCGAAAGGGATCGACCTGACCTTGGGCTCCGGACCGTTCGAACATCGAATGACCAGTTGGTCGTCGCAGGCAGCTGCCAAGCCCAAAGGGGCACCCAAGGCTGCTGCCCAGGCTTTGGCTATGACTTGCTGGATCAAAAGATGTCCAGAACCTTCAAAGACCCGATTTGTTTGAGCGATTTCCGTGTACATGCCCGCAATGCTTTGCCTTTTCAACGCCATTGGCTTCAGAATGGGCTTTGGTAGTGAATCCGCGATGAAAGTTAAGAGGTCAAAGACCAAATTGTTTCAGCAACTGAGCTGGAATCGCGTACGATGGCTCAGAAAGGCCAGGTAGCCTTGAGGACGTCTCTATATGAAGGTCCCCTTTTCCTGTTGACTCTGCGAGCCTTGTGAGGCCCTCAGCTCGCCCTCGTCCAGTCAAGTGAATGAGGCAGGACGAGCTGACGAGTGCAGGGGTCGGTTGGCGTGTTATGCACCCAACTCCAAACTCGTTGACGTTCCAACTCCTGGTGCAGGGCAAGGGTGACTTGGATGAACCAAAGTCGCTTCTGCGCAGTTTCATTCATGCCGCGGCAATCATGCGGATGAAAGTACAACACATGATGCAACGTGATTTTCAAGATGGTGATTGGATTAGAGAATCTCACCGGTCACGAGATGTTCTTCCTTGTTTGAATGTGAACCAGATCCATGTGGAACATGTCTTGGCCTACCAAGTCAGTAGATAACCTTTAACCTTTTTGAGGGACTGGTTTCCCCACAAAAAAGATGAAGAGGTGGAAGAAGATTAACCTTCATTTTTCCGGGCAAACTGAGGGAAGTGAGTTGGGAACAGGGCTGCGCATGACAGCACATCATCCTCCCTGGGGCTCCGGGCTGGCCGCGCGGCGTTTTGGCCGCTCAGCTGGCTGAGTGGACGGTTTTACCATGGAAGGCGCCTCTCGATTTTTGAGGTCATTTTTGGTCCCACCTTTCTTCTTCATGCATTTCTCAAGAGATGCCAAAAAGGGAACGCCCCATGCAGACCCCGCTGGGCTCTACTTCAAAAAACGCCAGAAAGTTGAAGCTGAAGTGGATCGACCCAAGTCATAAGGTTTGCACATCCTCATGCAGCTCGGATATTTCGCCTTTTATGTGGTCCTTCAGTTCGTGACTTCTTCCCGCCCAGTGGTCGAGCAGCGGCTGCTATCAGCAATGCTTTCGTTTGGGGCACGAGAAACTCGTTTGATCATTCAATTCACCCAGGAAACCCAGTTGGGGCATTCAGTCGTGGCCCACCTGGAGCCCATGTAGTCAGTCCACGTAGTCCGACAGAACCGCCCGGTCAGTCGCCCGTGAACAGTCCCAGGCACCGGCAGATGGGATCTGGAACGCTTTGGTGGAGGCGGTTTCGCGCACGACACTCGCGCAGCTCGAGGAGCTGGGAAAACACGTGGGGCGTGGGCTAACACTAACACGTGTGACCAAGCGGTCTGGAGATGTCTTGCTGTGGCGGAAAGACAATGCAAAACTCTTGAAAGTGAAGGGCACAGACCAAGAGATGATAGAAGCATCCACGGATACACTAGAGGGATGCACTCCCTAACAGAATCATGGAAGAAGGACGTGGAAAATAGATGAACATAGGTCCCTCAAGGATCCTAGAGGGACAATTTTCCTTTACACACAGGTGGCATCCCACTTCCATGTTAGTGACTCGGAGAGTACAACAACCAGGCAACATGACACAAATATGGACACTTGTATGCTTGAAATCTCAGTCTTTAGGCTCCAAGTAAGTAGAGCAAGAGCAACAACCCGATGACAGCGATGACTCTCTCTATATAAGTATTCCTTTTTTCCGCTGTGGAATTTCTTGCGTCGTCCCGGTGGTGTCCGACTGCTGATCTGGAGCAGGTTCTGACACTCAGCGCCCACATCCTCGCAGAGGACCCTTCTCAGTTGCCTTTCCAGGTGGGGTCGGCCTAAGGACATCATCGCTTAAGCTGATCATCACCTTAGATGTCGCGTTGGAACACATCCATCTCACTGCACCCTCGTGGCCAAGGTTATTGAGTAGTTCAGGGCGTCCCGATGACCAAGGCTTTCGCAACGCCTCACTGAGTCCCTTTTCCAATATGGTCTGAAAGGATCCAAGATCCCGGCGGAATGGGCTCCTAATCCTTCCCTGAGGGAGTCAAACATAAGTAAATAAATATAATATATATTTTTTTTTTGGACATTAGACCTTCTTGTCACCCAAGGAATACAGTTTTTTTGCCTCCAATGTTTGTCGATTTTGGGGTAAATGATGGTAAATGAATTGAGGTACCTTATCCTCAATGGGCCAGGAGCCTTTGAACGCCTTTGCTTTTCACAGCGCCATGAGCGTTTTGGGTTGAACCTCGGAAGCACAAACGTGTCCTGCGCCGGGGCCTCAGGTGCTTGGACGCCTGCTGGGTTTCGAGGTGTGCTGGGTTTCGACGGATGTTTTCGGAGCGGAGGCTGTTGGATGGGAGTTGGTGCTGGCGAACGGACGCATGTTTTTCCCCAAACAGTGTGGTCAAACCCATGCCAAGCGGTTGGCTTATTCACCCTTGTCTCTACTCAACTCAACACAGTTTGGGGTCTCTTGTCCATTTTGGACCAGAAGCGGCTGCCGGTTTTTCCCCTTTGTTGCGGCCGAATATGACGGGTGTTAGAGAAAACGGGTCCACGAAGGCTAACACTCAGACTTCTAATTTGCAGGGGTTCGGATAGAATCCAGGTGCCTTGTGCTATTTTGTTTCTAAAGATTATAGAGGTGAAGTGACATCCTTCTTTAGCCCAGGGACATACCTTCTGATCAGGTGGTTGTTTGAAAGCTCACCTTGCTGATTGACGTTGCCCGCAGGAGGAGCCTGGAGGCACGTCTTCAGGCAGAGTGCACTGGAAGATACGAAACAGTGGTCCCAAAGACTCAGACCGTAGACGCCGTAGACCTCGAACCCTATGAAGCCCTGGTTCCTGATTCATTACATAGTGGTAACTGGGATCCACTGGGATGAGAGAATGCCAGCATGTCCGATAGTTCAAAACTCTCTTGATCACATGATCACATTTCCCAACCCCTCGGGCAATTTGTAGTTGTTGCTGGTGCTTATTGGTGCCTACATGAGGTGATTTTTGTTTGAGTTTTAGGATTTGAGCTGCTGACAATATTGGTTCATATTTTATCCAATTGAGGAGTACGAAATGGTTTTGAACCCACCCGCTGGGCAGACTGGCCTGGCTGTTTGATCGTGCTGACGTCCTGGTTGTATGTGAGCGTCGTTCAAAAACCCACCTCTTCCTTGTTAGTGATCGAATTT